GTGTGTGTGTGTGTGTGTGTGTGTGTGTGTGTGTGTGTGTGTGTGTGTGTGTGTACTGTGGGTCTGATGTAAGAGGAAGAACAGCTAGATCCAGTTTCTCCAAGAATCCCAAATGGATTGGACTCCATTAAGCAAGATGAGCAATGAATGAGAACAAGCAGGTTGGAGTCGGCATGTGTAAGGGGGAGGAATGCAGAGTTCAGGCTTAATCAATGTTTTCTGAAATATTTCACTAGGAGCCAGATAGCGGCATAACGTCCGTGGCTTCATATTGGGAAGGAGGTGTCTGAGGAAGGGCAGAGGTGAGGCGCCTCGAAAATGGATAAACCTCTTCAGGGGTTTGTTGGGAAAGGAGGCAGAGCTTTTGGCCTGGAAGGTGGTGGACTGCAATAAGTGGATATCTGGTGACAGGAATCATGAATATACGCTCGTACTTAACGAGGCCTCAGGATCCGCTTTGCACAGGTAGGAGGGCCTACTAAAGCACCGCGAGATCGGTCAGACCACGCCAAAGCCCCGGATGTTGGTCTCACGGTCTACAGGAAAGACCCCAGTCCTCGACATTTCCGGGAAGCGCAAAGGAGACACGGTGCGCACGCGCGTAGCCACACCAGTGATCCGTCAGAGGCGGCGGGAAGTTGGTTATCTGAGCAGCCACCGAGCAGCCTGAAGACGGATTGGAGACTGCGGGCCAATAAACAAACGCCTCATTGGCTTAGGGCGCGCAGGCTCCCAATCCTTCAGCTTCTCATTGGGCCTTTCAAGCAGATCAGGGGCGTGGCTCTCGGGGCCCCGCCCCGCTCCTTGGCCCAGTCTCGGGGACCCGGACCGAGGGAGCGGGACGGAAGTGAGCAGGTCCCGCCCCTTCCCCTGCCCGCATTCTTTGGAGCCGCCGCCGCCGCTGCCGCCCTCCTCCGCTGCTCGCTCTTCGGCGAGCCGGAGTCTCAGTGCCGTACCCTCAGTCCCCGGCCGCGCGGAGCCGGGATGCACTGCTCCTGCTGTGGGTCCTCATCATGGAGACCAAACGGGTGGAGATTCCCGGCAGCGTCCTGGACGATCTCTGCAGGTACCGCGCCGCCCGCCCCCCTCGTCGCCGACACCCCCCCCCCCCCAGGCCTCCCGGTCTCCCTCTCCCCGCCCACAGCCCTGTCCTCCTGCCGCCGCCCCTACTCTCCCACGCCGCCGCCCGGCTTGCCGCCGCTGCCTCGCAGTTTCTCACGGACCTCCATCCTTCCCTGCAGGGCACCCGGAATTTCCTCATTCCTGTAGCTCCCCAGCTATTTTGCTTTCCCGCGGGCGGAGTCGCTTCGCAGGAGCCCGGGTCTCGAGCGTTGTTTTCCGCCACTCCTCCCTCTCTTATTGTTTTTTTCTGCCTTGGCGACTTTTACACGCCATGGACCTCCTCCCTCTGACTCAAGCCCGATTCTGCAGCGGGAAGTCCCGTGGTTAATGAAGTGTGCAGGTTCCAGGTGCCCTGAGTTTTCTAACTTACCCCGCCCCCTGCGCATTTTTCTGCGCTCATTGGCATTCTCCGTCAGTGCTTATTGAGATTTAACTCGTGGCTTCGTCTCTAGGGAGGGAGAGGGGGCAAACTTCTAGAGCTGAACTGCTTTTCCTTCTTTCTTTCATTTTTTTTTGGTGTGGATTCGGGGTCTCACTGTGGTCCAGGCTGTAGTGCAGTGGCACAAGCACGGCTTCACCGCAGCCTCAAACTCCTGGACTCAGACGATCCTCTCGCCTCAGCCTCCCGAGTAGCTGGGACTATAGGCGCGCGCCACTACGCCTGGCTAATTTTTTGATTTTTTTTTTTTTTTTGGTAGAGACGAGGTTTCGCCATCTTGCTTACTTGACCCGTCTCGAACTCCCGAGCTCAAGCGATCCTCCCACCTCGGCCTCCCGGAGTACTGGGATTACAGGCGCGAGCCACCGCGCTTGGCCTAGGGTTGTTTTTCTCTTAATCCTAAATTATCCTACTTTAAAGGAAATTCTCAACAACAAAGTTTTAACTCTTCATAAGTGAAGTTTTCTGCATTCTACTCTCTTGGCAACTGTGATTTCAGATAGCCAAACACGTGTGAAATGCGCTTAAGATATTTCTTTTCTGGAGCTAAAATTTTTGGTGCAGTGATAGATAGCCTTCGTGTTCCAGCGTATGTGGGTTGTGAAGTAATTTAGGTTGCAAATGAGTAAAACCCCTTTTTATCATAGCTACCGTATTGATGTTTAAAAGTCATACTTTTAGCCGGGCTCGGTGGCTCAGCCTGTAATCTCGCGCTTTGGGAGGCTGAGGTGAGTGGATTGTCTGAGACCGCGGGTTCGAGACCAGCCTGGGCAACTTGGTGAGACCTCATCGCTACAATAAGTCAAAAAAAAAAAAGAAAAAATTAGCCGGGCGTGGTAGCGCGCGCCTGTAGTTCCAGCTACTTGGAAGGCTGAGGTGGAAGGATCGCTGGAGCCCAGCAAGTCGAGGCTGCACTCCAGTCTGGGCGACAGAGTGAGACTCCAACTCAAAAAACAAAACAAAACTTAAAAAACTTTTAGTGACTGTTGCACTCACACTATTGTCTTTAATGGGAAGGAATTAATATTTGTGAAGTTTATACTGTGTCAGGCACTGGGTGCTCCCTTCACATATATCATGTAATCCTTGAAACAGCCCTATTTGGTAGGTGTTGTTTCCATTGACTGTATTTCCATTTTCTTTTGAGCAGACAGATCCAGAGACTAATTTATGCAAGGTCATGTTTGTGTAATTTACAAAATCAAGGTTTGAAATAGAGGCCTTTAAAAAAAAAATTGCATGTGCTTTTTCTCCTATACCGAGAGGATATAATAAGTCTTAACCTTTTAAACCTCAGAAGAGAATTACATGTAGAGAAGTAAATAGACTAATTTTCTTACTAATAATGTCATTGTACTTTGGTGTTGGTAGAATTATAATTTTTGAAATGTGACAGAGATGAACGACTTAGAAGTAAAAGGCACTTATGGTTCCAAATTTGGTGAAAAAGAGAAGAAGAAAATGAGAATTGGATACATGTATGCCTATGTGGATAAATGACTAGAAGAACATGAATTAAAAGTGGGATGGATTACTGTGATCTTTATTTTCTTCTTTATGTTTTCAAGACTTCTTAAAGGGTGTGCATTTTGTAGTAGGAAAAAATTACAAATGAGTATTTGGAAAAATGAGCAATAATTATATGGGAAAATAGGGTTAATAGTTGAGTTAGGAAAAAATGCAGTAATCTTGAAACTTTTTACAGGCATCTGAACTAGTCTTCCTATTAGTATTGGGGTTAATTTGTATATTATCTAGGATTACATCATTTATAGAAGTGCTATTAGCTATTATGATTTTGTGGGGAAACTGTTTATTCACAAAGTAATTATGTTGTAACAATTGTTGCATTTTATAAATAATATGTTAAACATCTGTTAGTGTTAAATAAAGATACTTGGTTTCCCAGTGAGTGTTAAAATATAATACAAATCTTTTGGCATAGAATAACTTTTTTCCTGTATTATTATTTTTGCATTTACTGTGTTTGGCTTTATAAATAAGGATGTAATATACTGTATTTACTTATTTTTATTTTTTATTTATTTGATTATTTTTTGCTCACTGCTCGTTGTAGCCTTGACCTCCTGGGCTCAGGCTATCCTTCCCCCTCAGCCTCTCAAGTAGCTGGGACTACAGGTATGTATCACCATGCCTGGCTAATTTTGAGGCTTTGCTATGTTGCCCAGGCTGGTCTGGAACCCCTGGACTGAAGCCGTCCTCCTGCCCGCCTTCCCAAAGTGCTGAGATTACAGGCAGTAATACTATTTTGAAGTTCATGTTCATATTTATAATCTCTCTCTTTTTTTTTTTTTTTTTTTACAGTTGGACTGTTTGTTTGTTTGTTTATTTATTTATTTATATTTATTTATTTATTTGGAGTCTCACTGTGTTGCCCAGACTGGAGTGCAGTGGCACGATCCTGGTCACTGCAGCTTTGACCTGCTAGGCTCCGGTGATCCTTCCACCTAAGCCTTCCAAGTAGCTGGAACTATAGGCACATGCTACCACGCCTGGCTAATTTTTGTATTTATTGTAGAGATGAGATTTCACCAAGTTGCCCAGGCGGGTCTCGAACCCGTGGGCTCAGGCAATCCACTCACCTCAGCCTCCCAAAGGATTACAGGCTGAGCCACCGAACCCGGCTGGACTGTTTAATTTTTATAAAAATAAAGCTTAAATGGAAACAAGTTATTTTTTTTTCTGGACTTTTTGCTCTCTTGTATACCTCTTGATTTTTGAATTCTGCCTAGATACTTGTTTTTACTCACTTCATTTTTTTCATCGATTCTATTGCTTATTATTAGTGCACTTAGAGGCTTTACAAAATTTTGTTTCTTGATAGATACATATTTCTGCTAATCTTGCCTTTGTTATTGCCATATATTAATAAGGTTTGAATAAATGTAAAACTTGAAGTTGATTTTGATGTGGAAAATTAGAGCAGTTGACTTAAATTTAAAGATGTGGTTTTGCAATCCGTAGACTGCTTATAACTTTAGACATGGGATATTGTTTTTCAGAGATTTTAACATGTAACATTTCATTGACTGGACTGCTATGCAGCGATTAGAAATTCCTAAGGCAATTATAAAATAGTAAGCTGAGGGAAAATATTTTGTGTGTTGAAAAGATGTATACAGTATACTGAGTGTAAGTATTTAGTCATTTGACTCCTTTTGTTAAAACATTTAAAAATATGTATGTAGGTGTATGTATTTGTGTACTGAAGGAATACATACCACACAGATAACACTGGTTAATTTCTGAATGGAATGAAAATAGAGGTGAAGAAGGGAAGATTATTGTCTTAAAATGTTCTAGTGGACAAAAATTGCTTTATAATTAAAAACGTATATGGACTGGACCCGGTGGCTCACGCCTGTAAACCTAGCACTTTGGGAGGCTGAGACAGGAGGATCCCTTGAGCCAAGGAGTTTGGGACCAGCTTGGGCAACATAGTGAGAACTCGTCTTTATAAAGTAAAATTTTTTAAAAAGTATGCGTGAAAAAAGTAAATTAGCATTTTATGGTGATATTAGCCCTTATGTACCATAATTTTTGACATTAAAAATCAAATATAGAGTTTCCCAATACTCTTTAAACTAACTTATTTTAAAGAATTGAGAAGCATGTTATTAAAGTAAAAACTGAAAACTATGGTTTGGTAAGTTGTTTCAAAGAAATGCTTGGGATTTTTTTAAAGTTTCTTTACGAATTGGACTAGTGTTAAAAGTAGAGAGGTATTTTTTGGCAGCTAATATTGCTGCTATTGGGGTGACGGCATCTGTTAATTAAATAGTTTGTGCTCATCTTCAGCTAGCCATTTTAGTGTTGAATTCTGCTGTTACATTTTTATGTTAATTGTAATCTTTGTGCTAATATACTATATGTAGGAACACTGAAAAATAACATTTTGTGTGTAGTTTTTCCCATAATAAATCATTGTGAAAAGCATTTTATTTGACCTACTGCTATATACATGCTGCATACTAGTATATGCACACAAATATATGCACACACTTCTTGTCTTTAAAACAAATCAAAAACATTCACAGAATGAAAGCTTTAATGTTTAATTTACCTTTTCTTGTAAACTTAAGTGAATCAACTTTTAACTATTGAAAAGATGTAATCATGTGTATGTTTTCAAAAAATGAGAATACAGGCGGATTTATAAATGAAAAGCAACAGCCACTTATTCTACTTACCCCTTCCTATTTCTGTTCTTCTTTCCAGAGGTATTGACTTTTACTTTTGAGTTCTTCTGGTGGATACTTCATTATTTTAAAATACACTTGTACTAATTTCTTGATTTACTAACTTTTGATATTAAGGGCATAGTTTACCTTGATAGATATTAGGTTAGGGTTTAGTTTTTACCACACTCATTATTGCCCTCATCCTACTTCAAATGTATTTATATCATTATTTTACATTTCTATTGTTTAGCTTTGTGACTTTAATATACTTTTTATAAACTTATAGACAGTACTTCTTATTTT